TTTTTTTTTATAAAAAAATATCTTTCCAGCGTGAATATATATTATATTAAAATCCATAAAAATCATGTTTCAAGTCTCTACTAAATATCATGGGTTTTGATTATTTTCATTCTCTGTTCCCATTTCATTCTTCTTGTTTTTATATTCCTATCCAAGGCAACCTAAGCTTTTTTGTTTTTGAAAGAAAAAAAGGGGAAATTTTGGGAGCATGCCACAGCCGCAGGTGTGTGTATTTGATAAGCCACTTGCATATATATTTTTAATTATAATTTGTCTATTTATTTAAAAAATTTTAAAAATCATCTACTTTTACTCCCTGATTTATTTAGATTAATATTAAGGAAAATGACAGATAAAGAAGGTGGAATTTATGAAATTCCAATTTGAGAAGCTAAGGAAATGTAATGACAGAGAGGGAAGTCCTTCCTAAATTGGAATTTTGAAATTCAGTGAAATGACAAAAATGCCCTTTGTCTTTTTTTTTTAAAAAAACTCAGCCCCTCACCGGCGGCCGGCCGCCGGCAACCACCGCCGACGACTGGCCGCCGGAGCCGGCCACCAATGTGGTGGCTGTCGGTGGAGTTTTTTTATAACAGTGTTTTTTTTTGTATGGGAGAATATTGCAAGAAATGGTGGGGGTGGGATTTGATCCCACGACCCCTTGGCCATTTGAGCCAACAAAATGGCAGATAACCATTGGGCCATTAAAGACTTATTAACTTTATAATGCAAACAAAAATATAAGTTGACTCTTTTACTGTGACTCCAGCCAGTGATAACAATTTACCTGAGGATGACAAGTCTTAACTGAGAAATAACAAGTCTAAATTTGATATTAACAAAGCAACTTTTCCTGATACATAACAAGAAGTAGCATGTACATTAATTAAAAATAGTAATAATTTATTTGAAAATGACACGTCTTTACTGAAAAATGACACGTCTAAACGTGAGATTAACAATATGCCTTTTCCTGATACATAACAAGAAGTAGCATGTACATTAATTAAAAATGACCATAATTTATTTGAAAATGACACGTCTTTACTGGAAAATGACACGTCTTTTGTTGGAACCCCCTCTTTTTTTTAATTAAAAAAATGGGTTAGTTGTCCAATAAAAAGTAACAATAATAGCAGTACTAGATAGTATTTAATGACAGAAAAATACCAAATAATTCCATTTTTTTTCCAAAAAGATCAATATTCGCGGCACGCGCATTGTTGTTCTTGTATTACACTCAAAAGGCTCCTTCTTGCCTTAATTACTTAATTACAATTACAAGGATAGAGCTTTATTTTATATTAAAATAAGGCTCTATTTTATATTTTATATACAATTAACAAGTCTAATCTCACGTTTAGACGTGTCATTTTCCAGTAAAGACATATTGTCAATATCAAGTTTAGACTTGTCATTTTCCAGTAAAGACGTGTCATTTTCAAATAAATTATAGTCATTTTTAATTAATGTACATGTTACTTCTTGTTATGTATCAGAAAAAGACATATTGTTAATCTCACATTTAGACGTATCATTTTCCAGTAAAGACGTGTTATTTTCAAATAAATTATTACCATTTTTAATTAATGTACATGCTACTTCTTGTTATGTATAAGAAAAAGTTACTTTGTTAATATCAAATTTAGACTTGTTATTTCTCAATTAAGACTTGTCATCCTCAGGTAAATTGTTGTCACGGGTTGGAGTCACAGTAAAAGAGTCAACTTATATTTTTGTTTGTATTATAAAATTAACATGTCTTTGATGGCCCAATGGTTATCTGCCCTTTTGTTGGCCCAAATGGCCAAGGGGTCGTGGGATCAAATCCCACCCCCACCATTTCTTGCAATATTCTCCCATACAAAAAAAAACACTGTTACAAAAAAACTCCACCGGCAGCCCCCACACCGGTGGTCGGCGGCTGCCGGCTGCCGGCGGCCAGTCGCCGGCGGTAGTTGCCGACGGCCGGCCACCGGTGAGGGGCTGAGTCTTTTTTTAAAAAAAAAGACAAAGGGCATTCTTGTCATTTCACTGAATTTCAAAATTCCAATTTGGGAAAAACTTCCCTCTCTGTCATTACATTTCCTTAGCTTCCCAAATTGGAATTTCATGAATTCCACCTTCTTTATCTGTCATTTTCCCTTAATATTAGGTGTTAACTTAACTTATTTGTGGCGACTTCTCAATTACATTAGTTTAGATTTCCGATCATTTGAAATTCAAACGTCTGTAGCTAGATCTCAATTTCTAAGAAAGGCATCTGATATAATTTCTATCAATTTATAATACCTTTAGTTCTTAATATAAGAGCTAGATAGCTAATTTAAAAATAGTGAGAAAATTAAGTTAATTATTTGTCACAAATGCGTATTGGTCTCCCTAAACCAAGTCATCATCTTCAATAATGTGTATAGGATGATTGAAATTATTCTCTGCTAAGAACTATTATAATCAATAGGGATATTTAAAAAAAAAAAAAGAGGTAAAGTAAGTTAAAGTCTTATACTTAAAACTAAATTTAACTTCCAACTAGCTTTTATATTAAAAACTAGATTGGAGGTAGTGTTATTTACTTATATTTAAGCCTTTAGGGAGTATTTTGATTTAAAGTTTCCCACCACCTTAATTCGTGTATTTCAAACTATTTGGTCCATAAACAAGCGTCTTCACTCTACATACTGCGTGCATACTTCACAATGCAGCTTGTTGCATATTTACTTGGTGATGTGCTTGAGATTTCTATAATTTTGCTTACCTTAAATCAAGCCCTTATAAAATTATAAGAACCAAAACGTTTAAAACTATAGAGAGAGCAAAACCTAAAGACCAATAATTATATAACTCTAAGGTCCTGTTTGGTACGAAATATTAAAAATGAGAGATAAGGACTGAAATTGAAAGTATAAAACTATATTAAAAGGATGTTTAGTATGAGTAATTGTATAATACTTGGGATTAGACAAACCCATATATGTGGGATTGGGGAATACCATGAGAGGAGGTGGTATTCTCCAATCCTATCTATATGAAATTGTCTAATCCTATGTGATAAGAAACCACTCATGCTAAGTATCTTTTTAACATATGTTTTTAACTCCAATCCCAATAATTATCTCTCATTTTTAATATTTCGTACCAAACATAACCAAAATTTAAATCATTTTAGGATCCAAACAGGACAACTCAGAGCGCAATACTAGCTACCTCCATGACTTTGTAATATGTTGTATTTGCACTCCTTTTTTCTATTCTTTTTTTTTCCAAATTAGAAAGACTTATATTAATATTAATAATCGGAGGTTATGAGTGCGATTAAATCTATAACCTTTAATTTCACTTATAGTGGAGATTTCATACCATTAGATTATAAGTTTATTGGCTCTTTGCACACATCTCATGCATACTTGTTCACTTCATCCCTATCTACTTTCCCTATCTACTTTTTATTAAAATTTCGATTTTCATTCATTGTACTTCACATTATGCATCTCAGTGCATTGGCTTGACGATGTATGTGTTATGGGATCTCTATCTTTTTGGTTTACCAAAGAGTTAATTTCTCAAGCTTAATTAAAGAAAAATTCAAGGAGATGCATTAATATAAATTTAATTAAATCTTTCTGGGATTGAAATCGTACAACAAAACTTTTTTTTAGGTGAAACAAGCGTATCCCCAAATCACATTAGATTTAAGATTAATCACTTTTGAGTGTAAAGCGGTTAAGGAACAGCACTCCCAACAAGGGTACAACAAAACTTTAATCACGTTAGATTCACATTCCAATTATAGTGTTGGTTGAAAAATAATGTGAAAGTAATTTGTGTTAGAAAAAATATTTATGTCAAATTCCTTATATTTATTATATTAAGTTTCCTAACACATAGATATGAGAAATTTGATGTAACTAGTGTATCTTGAGTTATACGGTTATATGAACTTTCTTTTTTCCCAATATATTTCAAAGTTTCTTCAAGTTATTTTAGACTTAAAACTACTCTTTATTGGATTGGTAACGTAAAGATTAAAACTCTCTCAAGAAATACATTTTTCGAGATTCGAATTTGTATTCTTAGGGACAGTTTGTTGGTATATGTTTATATGACTTAATGAAGATTTTGCACCGAAACGCAGCAACACATAACAAACAATGATTGAGAAGCTAACTAAAACCGAAAAGTTTGAAATACTAACAATTTGTTCCTCCTAGTTAATGCCCACTTAAATCGAAAGTTTTCTGTTTGACCAAAATAGTAAATTTACTACGATGGAATTAATTACCATTTACTTGTATCACTTTTCTGACTAGGTTCATAAATGATTCTAATTCCACCTCTAATTCCGGTTATGCTCATAGCCCCACTATATATATATCCCCATATTGTGATGCTGATTTGCTAAGTAATTTACACCAAACTTAATTAAGCTGACTAGATATTCTTGTATTTTATTAATCTGATCTTTTGTAGGAGGCATTTTCAACTAATTCATCATTTTCACAATCAATAAGAGGTGATTATATCGTTAGCTTTGTTAAAAAATAAAATAAAATTTCATCTTTAGAAATAAAGAAGGAATATGTAATTTTTTATTTATTTATACCACATCTACCAATCAGAAGTTAGAAAAATATTTGACGTGAAAATTTAAAAAACGTTATGGCAATTTAACCTAATTTTTATTGTTAGGGGCGAAGACACTTATCAATTAGAATTAGGTTTGAAGTATGAGTTGGTCATAGCTTTCTGGAAAAAAAAGAAAAAAAAAAAGGAAAAATCATGGGAGGGTGACTTTTGGTGAACGGGACCAGCTAACACAGAAGGGCTTTTTTGTAATAAAAAACAAAAAACCCATCCCTTTTGGTAACATGAATCCTTTAAAAGCTCCAAAGTTGCAGAGATTCATTCCATCGCAGCAGCATTGCCTTTTCATTTTTACTCGGTTCCCTCTCTTCCAAAATCCCTCGCTCGTCCTCCACTTTCTCTCTCTAAAATCTCAGAGAAAGGAGGAGAATCACTCAGAAGCAGACGAAGAAAGAGGAGGACGAGGACGATTGCGCTGTCAGCTCTGCGACCTGCGAATCGGAGTGGAAGAGAGAGATCGGAAGGAATCGATTGCCGATGGAGGAGCGCCGATATGCGGTGTTGGTGTGCGCGGAGGAATCAGAGTATGTGAGGAAGAGGTACGGTGGGTATTATGGAGTATTTGTGAGAATGCTGGCCGAGGAAGGGGAGAGGTGGGACGTGTACAGGGTGGCGCGTGGGGAGTACCCGCCGGATGAGAAGGTGGAGCTGTACGACGGATTTATGATCACCGGAAGTTGCAATGACGCACATGGGAACGATGCCTGGGTGAGAGAGCTGCTGACATTCCTTAAGAAATTGGATTCTATGAGGAAGAAAGTTCTGGGCGTTTGCTTCGACCACCAGGTATGTTTATTTATTTATTTTAATAATTTATTGTTCTGGAGAAACCAGTATGTTTTTGTTTGGTCAGGTTTTACCCGTTTTTCTGTTTTTTATTCCTTTTTCCCGCTTGTTTGGTTAATTTATATACATGTTGAATGTTCACTTTGGTTTTTGAATTTTATGCTCTGTTTATGTATTAGTATAATTTAACAAAATTTTATAAAATCATGTAAGTTTATTCGGATAAATAATCATTTTAATTTGTTTTTGGTGTCTTTCGTCCACAGTCTAAAGAATGACTTTGGTTGGTTGATAACCTGTGAGTCGGACTTTTTCTTTCTTTTTTTTTTTTCTGTTAATACAATTTTCTGCTTATCAAATTTGTTTTTATTTTAATTTTGATTTCCCAAGTTTCAAATTATAAGTTTTTATTTTTTAATTTTTTTATCATTTAAAATATTATTTCTTATAATTTAATAGAAACTTGAATCTTATGATTTAAAACTTAAAGGGCCAAAACAACAAATTTAAAAAACCAAAAATTATATTGATTTTTTTAACAAATTGATATTTAACATTGATTGATATTGATGATTTTGGTGAGATATAAAACAAAATGCACAAATCACCCTGTCTTTTTAGAAGTGCATTGAATAGTTTGTTAATTTTAATTTAATTTTAAGCATGTTATAATACTTTTTTTTTGGCCGGTAAACTGTAAACATGTTATAATACCTAGCATCATCATATAAAATAAGGTTTAGCAAAAGAAACTCTTTGTAAACTCTGAATAATGTAGTTTAACTTAAATTCTTAATGCATTGGTGCTTCTATTCTTACACTAATGAACACAACAAACTGGGGCTATTTAAGCGGGGCAGATGGGGTAGCTTATAACATCTCAAAATGATGTTCATGTAGCCGAACCCACTTAGTGAACAAGGCTTATTATTGTTATATGTGTGTGGCTGTGTGTACATATGAACCTCTTCGTTCTCTTCTCTCTATCTGTAATCTTCTGGTATTTCAGGTGGAAACTTGTGTTATGTGCACTAATAATAACTCTCACTCATTATCGGTGCTTGATTTCTGACGGTCACAGGAAGCTTATGCGGCTGAGGCTGCGGCGAGTCTGGCTTTGAGGGAGCCGGATAAGGAGGCATGGAGAAGACTGTGCATCAGCTTTCTCAAGGGTAGGTTATGACAATGCAGTGAGAGAGAGAGAGAGAGAGGTTTTGTATTGAAGAAGTTGGCTTTAGGAAGAAAGAGAGTGGAGGAATGAGAAAGTAATGGGAAAAGAAGAGGGTTATGTGTAAGGGTTGACTCCATTTTCCTTCTCATCGTTAATCAGTTAAACTCCACTGATAGGAGAAGAGTATGCTTAGTCTACTGATTTTTTTATTTTTTTTTTTAAGATCGCGATAGAATGCACTAATTTTAGAAATATGCAAAAATAATAACAAGGAAAAGAAAAATTTTCAATTAGGTAGATGCTTAAACCTCCATTAAAGGAGCATTAAGAAAAATGCTTTTAAAAAAAACAAAAAAACAAAAATTCTGTGTGAATTCTTTGACCGGCGAGTACTATAAAGGCCAGCAAGAGAAATTAGTCAAGGGAAAAAAAGAAATGAAGAGTAACACATTATATAAATATAAAGAAAACAGAAGTCATTGATTTTAGTGCTTACTGTGATCTTTATTATAAAATAAATTAGCTACTTGAAGTCAAGGAATCACGCCTTCCATATTAAAGAAAAAAAAATCATTTTGTTGAACTATGTTAAAATTACATGAATACTTTCTTATTTTAGACACATGTAAATATCTGAAATAAAAAAGTTGTGTAAAATAATTCTGTTTACGAAAATATAATATATATATTAACTTAAATTCAAACTTATATTATAAAAAAGGAAATAATATTTTTATTTTTATCATTAATTGGGGGGAAAAAACCTTCAACCACAGTATAATTATTGTCATTACTTAATTTTCAACAAGATGTAGGAGGAAATTGAAGCAAGTTTTCCTTGCCTTTTGATTTGTAATTCAAAGTGTGGTACCTAAAGAACTTCATATACTTGATATTTTTCAAATCGAGTAATATTTAGTTTGATTCAAGCATTTTAAATTCAATCAGGGATAACATCCGAAGACGATTTCTCATATCTATACAGTCCAAAGACCTGCTCTTGTATTATAACTAGATTTTACTCTCATGTGCGCTGCACGGGAAGCTTACAATTATACAAAATTATTTTCGTTACAAATTTAAATCTCATCAAAACATTAGAAATCGTGTGATTTGTGTTAATTACACAACATCACCATCTATATTTTTTTACAAAATTCTTTATAAACAACATTTGATGTTTGTTGATGTTCATTTTAATATGGCTATCAGCTTACCTGAATTGACCTCAAATCCATTTGCCTCTTAGAATGCACACATTCGTTTCCGTGATTCAAAACATAGAGGGGTTACTTAAATATAATGAAGCAGGTTGAATCCTAGATATCTAATATATAGGGGTTACTCATGATGATGGTGTAATTTTTTTTAATAGAAAACTATTCAGAAAAGGAAGACAATACAACAAAACAGAATCCAAAATCCTTTCATCAACCTCCTCTTGCTGAAGAAGTAGAAGGTGATCAAACGTACACAAATTTTTTATCATCGTGTGTGAAGACTTGGCTAAAAAATCAGCAAAACCTAAGTACTCCCTAAAGGTATGATTAATCAGAATATGCCAATCCCTATGTAACAATAATCTAGCATCTTCAACTATGCCTCTAAAAGAACGAAAGCTAACATAGCCTCTAGTAACTAAGGTCAAGGCTTCTAACTAATGGTGTCATTTAGATAACATCAATCCATTAGACGATATTTGTCATAAACTAAAAAATGATTGATGGAAAATCACAAATTACTTGAATTTGCTTCAACACCATTAAGGCATGAAAGCAAGGTTTCTTGCTTGCTCTTGGAACAGCGTTAGCGTATTTAGTTGGATGAACCCCTTTATTCTTTTGGTCAAATAATTCTAAGAAAATAATGATACAAAAAGGTTGATATATTTGTCATCATCATTATCACCTCATTAATTTCAAACCATTTAAATACCTATATAAACCTATTACATTACAAGATATATTAAAAATAACAAATCTCCAAATATTTCAACATAGCCCTTGGGCCAAAAGAAAAAAACAAAGATCAAGCATTTTATACCAAGTTGCTACTGATATGTGCATTTTGTTATGCAAATGCACATCCATTTGAATAAGAGATATTGAAAACAAACAATCCAAATATGAGAGTTGTGTGAAAAAAATTATCAACTCTGACTTCTTGATACCCATACTGCATCTCAATATAAAAATCTTTTCTTATGGGCATCAAAATATATGAACTTCATTTGCAGCTGAGGTTTTTTGGTCATCCAATCGATGAATACTGCACAAAGGAAATAAAAAAAATCATTCATTACACGCCAGTTAGTGTGTGCATATAAAAAAATAGAATGCCACTTGATTATCTAAAAACAATCAAGATCATCCTACACCACAACGATATTCTATTTTTAATAATACCGAACCTGCAAAACCAATCATTTCTTAGGTGCTAGTGGAATGAATTATTCAAAGCATAATTCGTCTTTTGGCAAACAACTAACATAGTGAAAGAGCCTCTTCCTTTCACTTTTCTTTTAACCATTCCTAGATGAAACATGAGAAATTCAAAACTTAGAAACAGCTTCAATCTTCAATGAGGATTAAGCTACAATAGTACAAACTGATAGGCAAAATGAAATTAACAAAAGTTTATGAATGAGAAGCAAAAAAAAAAAAATCCAAATTAAGCGACCACTTGCTATGATTTATTATGATAATGAAGCACATATTAAAACTCAAATTCACAACTCTATTAAGAGTTTTATATATATATATATATATATATATATATATCATTAAACATTAAAAGAAAATATGAGAAATAACCTGAAGGTTAGGCTTTGAGTAGTAAGAGAGAGAGAAAAACAATGACTTATTTTTGGGATGTGAAGGAGAAGGCCATCCAGCTACCTATGGTGTCCATAAGAGTGGTCATTGCTCCTTCATGCCACTTCCCACTTTCATCCTGTAAGTCAATCAAATCTCATATCATAAATAACCCAATACTGAAGCTAATTGATCGGTTCATTCATTCATCCATTCAGCATTTGAATCTAAGAGAGAGATGAATAAGAATGTTAGGTCCAGACTTGGGACATTACTTACTGATACGCCATGGTCTTGAAGCGAGTATCAACAGTCTTACTGATCTCCTCATCTACCTTAATCCGAAGCTTCATAATATGCCCGCATGTTAGTGCACCGATATCAACACAGAGCCCAAGTGCACTGCTTGGGGGTTGATTTCTAAATTTTGAATGAGAGAGAAACCGATGGGTAGAAAAGATATAAATGAAAAGAGAACATTTGGGGGAAAAAAATAGAAACAAACAGCAACTTTACATGGAAGATAAGGAATAGGAAGGTAAAAAGGATCTCGATAAAAAAACGAAGGAGATATAGAGATGGTGGATACCCAAAGTTCCATTCTGTATAAACATAAGATCTAATTTTGGATGAGAATTGTTGGTATTGAAGAGATATAAATAAAAAGTGAAAGCGGAGCGAATTGGGGGGTTTGAAATTTGAAACAGATGACAAAAGCATAAATGAAGAGAGAGAGAGAGGAGGAAATGAGGGATTTTGAAATTCGAAATGTGTGATAAGGAGGGAATGAAGGATTTTGAATTATTTGCTTAGAGTGGGAAATATTATGTTGGTGCATAGCCAGTACTTGTTGAGGAGCTATTGTTTAGCTTCAATAAATGGCTTGCACGCAGCCCATGGAAGGAAGATGAGTAAATTGGACAGCTTATGAATAGTATTTTAGGTGAGAAGCCAATATTAAGCCGCATATACTGATCGGCTAAGATGGAAGAGTATTTAATGTTATATTGATGATAGTATGTGTGTGTGTAATATTTGTCTCACTTTATCCAATCATTATTGGCGAGATACTGAATTTTTATTTTCAATTGTTTTGAAAAAAAGAAGGTATGACATGGTCAGATGGAGGAAAAGAGGACAAATTTTTATATAGAACAAATTCTTTTTCGAGCTAACCTATTTATTTCGTGAGTTAGCCTGGACAACCCTTTTTTTTCCTTAATTTACTTTATTTTACCTGGCTGAGCACAGCACAATCCCTAAAGCTACAAACTTAATCAAGTGGCTGAACACTTTATTTTCCAATTTACTTTCATTTCATAGTGATTTCTTTTCATTTCTATTATGCAGGATAAAAGATTTATGTCTATAGTTATATTTAATAATGTATTTATTTTATTTTTTGTTGCAGAATGCAGATGCTGAAGATGATAAGAAAGAATCAAGGATTAACCTTATTTCTAATTCCATATAAGATTTAAATATCATTATTTTTTGATGATTGATCAATGATATATTCATATGACATGATTATGATTCTTATCATATTTGTGAAAATTTGATTTATAATATCGACATGTGGTGTGGATGAACATGAATATGTTCTGTTTGTTGAATGTTGCTTATGATAATATGTTGAGGTGTAATTTTGCTCTCAAAACTTTTATGTAGGAGTTGTGAGTATTCAAAAAAAAAAAAAAGGATCAATATTACTTCAAAAATATTAAAAGATGAGTAATACCACTCCAAAATATTAAAAATATTAGCCGTCAATATTAGTTTTTTGTCAATCAATGTTAGCTTTTTGACAATTCAGGTGACTTCAGTTTTTCTCTGCCACACGAAAACTTTTGGAGTTAAATTCAACCTGAAACTTATGATAAAATAATGCAAATTATGTAGGGAGAATTATAATGTCAAAAATAGAAAATAATTACCAATAAGTCCTAATAAACAGTTGTTATTTACTATCTCAGAACTTGTCATTGCAGGCTTTTATGTTGTCATGAAGACTTTTTAATAATTATGTTTATTACTTAGAACTTCACAGTGATTCTCCCAATTATATAATATATGTAGGTTTAAAGCGGGTTATATGATTTGTATTGTATTTAGTTTTTTAAATTAATATTTTTTTACAGGTAGAAACAAAAGAAATGATGTACTACCTCCGATTCCATTTATAAGACCTTGTTTGTAGACTACAAACGAGGTTTTATAATTAGGACCAGAGGTAGTATCTACTAAATGGCTCTCTTAATGTCATTGACCTCTCTTGATGTTGTCATTTGATCTCTTTATCTGTTTTGGCATTTGCCTTTCTGAAGTGTGCAATTACTTGTACATTTTTCTCATTTTCTTAATTTTATATATCTTCTTTATCAATAGAAAGCAAGATTAGTGAGATCCTTGGAGTTGGGTAGCAGTAGCTATGAGATTAGTGAGAGACTTTATGGATGCTGCAACAAGTGATGTCTGTTGTAGGTTAGATCAAATAGTTCTCATTTTGCAGATTGATTACCCTGAAACGGTAAGGCCTATAAGCTTACTCAAGGCTACGTGCCAACATTTATGTTGCCACTAAAATGACAACGTAATCTGATGTCCTAAAAACTCTAATAAATGAGAGATTGTGGATCCAGTCACATTTATAACCATCAAGCCGTTAGTGGCTACAGCGATGGAAAAGTGAATGCACAGAAAATACCCATGTTTTTGTTGATAGGTAACAGGAGAAATTGTGAAATTATGAAGACGAGGATGATGAATAAATTTTGGCGAGACTTACCTCTTTCTTAATGTAAAAAAATATCGCAGAGGTACAAGTGTGCTCATGAGTGACCGGCCAAGCATAAGAACTGCAGAAAATGAAGGGCAGCATTTAGGCCGTCGTCAAGGATGCGGTACTACCACGTTCTCACGGTTTCCCACTTCCGAATGCAAGTATTATTCATAATTACGAGGAGAGGCACAAAATTCTCTGGAGATATCAGCCCCGCATGCACAGCATCTAAGAATGAAAACGCTGAATTATTTGGACCATAGTGACTGCAGCAGAAGGAAACAGAAGGCAAGCCAGCTCATCCGGATACACTTCCCAAGACCAGTGCAACGTGCAACGGTGCAAGCGGAAGGAAAATAAGGACTAGGTAAACCATCCAAAAATAGTCAGACAAAAAAAATTGCTATTTTTAGGAATTTTTCCTCCTCGCATTCTTTCCAAAAGTTGGTTAAGTTCACAACATAATCGAAACATTGCCTTAGGCAGCTGCGTGAGCATCACACCCAGTTGATAAAAAGGATAACATGTTTTAAGACTCGAACAGTAGCTGTTTGAACCTCCTGAAAAGTAAAACTGTCCTAGTCGGACTTGACTGGAATATTAGGAAGGAATTGGGTTCCCAGTGTGCTAGGGTGGCACTGGCTGAAACCATCCTGTTATGCAAATGAAGTTTATTTGGTTGGCAAAATAAGGGGGCTCAGCAAAATAAGCTCAGAAAACACCACTCATACGAAAGAGCCCATGACAGCCCCACCCATCGTCCATCCTTTTCAGCACTCTAATATCATTAAACAGAGAAATAAAAATTGTTTCAATGTCAGTTTCCTTTGATTAGTATCGTTAAACAGAGAAACTTGTTTCGCTCCGGTTCAACATGACAACCATTAAACATATCCACATATAAAGCAGACCAAACGGACCAATCACGATATCCAAAGATCATAATAGCAATAAATGAATACTGATGGTTCATGCAAGAAGTCTTCTTTTCATCTTCCTCCATAAAAAGGCTTTATTTAAGTGAAGCCCACAACCACACATGGAATAATCTCAACCATCAGAGACAGTCTAGGCAGAGATAATTCTATCGCAGAAGGGTAAGAACAGAGGAAAAATAGCTCAAGCACTCAATGAGGCTCCAGAGTGCTTCCTGCACTCTGCTAGCATGTCCATGTAGAATTGGCACTTGCTAATGTCATTCCCGTAACTGTTCAGGCACTGCAAGAAAATAATCGTACATCTCTAATGTTAGCAAATATTAGAGAATCATTAACCAACAGCAGGAATAAAAACATTAATGAGTATCTATTAGCAATTTTCTTGAAGAAACCTTAAATTCAGATTTCAAACATATTTCTCTCAAAACCGCATTCTGAAACCAATGGGATAACAGTATTGGTCCGGTTATTCACTACATCCTCAACTGAAACCTTGAGCAGTATACTTGATGCCATAATGAGCCAATCACTAAGAACTCATATACATTAATGACGAGCTATCGGTGATTTTCTTCAAGAAACTATGAATTGGAAATCCAAACATGCTCACGTTTCCAAAACTTAGGCTTGCCCCTGTAACCTAAAAAAAGATTCAAACATGTTTGGCTTAAAAATATGAAACCAATGAAATAATCACACGGGTCCAGTTATTCAGTAAAACATCAACTAAACCTGAAAAATATATGATATACCTGATGACGCCATACTGGTGCAAGCACATGAAATTCATGCAAAGCATGTAAAGCACAATCATGTAATATACATTTGAAACATATCTGACAACCCATAATAAGGAGCTGTTAAGGCATAAGGACCTTTCACATGGACCTTGCATGTCTTGTAGAATGTTAATCAAATAGTTATTATTTTCTGCTGCTTAAGATATTTCTATACTATTGGACATATCAAAGCATATAACAGTCAAAACAATAATTGATGGGTGAATTTGTGAGACATCCATCCCATAAGGAGTTATTCAGTTCTCCAAGTTCAGGTTTGATTTACAAGTCATAACGCAGATGGCCAGAACAGGTGAGAAATGCATACATCTTGGAAGGCCTTTGTGTGAACACCACAGGCATCGCTACCAAGACTATTTGCAATTGGTGCAGGGGCTGCAGCAGCACCCTCAGCAACAACTGTTTCATGTTGAATAGTTCGAGGACCCATCACAGCATCCACAGCCCTGTGTGCTACTGCACTACCAGTTCCAAAAGCCATGCCTACAACAAATTATCCATCCATTAAGCACAAAGAAATTCATTTTCACAGGTCCCATCCCATACATTAAAATGAAATAATCATATTCACTAACGTACCCTGAGCAACGGTTGAACCAATGCCACCAAGCAGAGAGCCACCACTGCCGCTCTGAGCGGGGGCTGGGGGAGGAGCATGGTGAGCTGCATTAAGACATAACCAAGGTGGACAGAAATTAAACTACTACTTAAGTTTCTGGCTGAGTAATATTAATACTATGTCGCAACAAAACTCTTTGGAAGATACATTAGACCTTCATCATCTTCTTAAGTTTCTGGCTAAGTAATATTAATACTTTGTCACAACAAAACTCTTTGGAAGATACAGTAGACCTTCATCATTATTTGGATTTAAGAAC